GTATATAGTGTGTAGTGTGCTCTCACGAGGCACCAGTTCTGTAGGGTTTGGGCATTTACGGGGACAATTATTAATTGTAGCCGTAAATCACAAAATTATTCTTTTAATGGCTTTAGAATCCAACCTTGTGGTATAACTCAAACAACGCACACACACACAGGTACTAATACACAAGAATACATTTATTTATACATAAAATATACATTTTACCTAACAGATCTTATCGTGAGGGTTATCAGAATACAAAAGGTATATATTCATTCAGTTACGAAGAGTTACACATATCAAGAGGACATACGTGCGGTGTATCATTCATTTAGACCATTTTGTAAATGAGCTTAGTCACAACTTCTACACTAGATACTCAAAACAAGTACATAACTCTTAGGAATTAAATTGATATCAACTGGTTGGGATAACAATTGAATTCTCGAGCAGTAATGCAGTGAAGTTGAATACTCATCCAATCTCTGGGGATTCAGATTTCCTGCAGGCACAAAGAAACAGCTGGAGGCTTGTTGCTGTCCAATCCGCACTCTATGGCTCCGTGACAGGCTATGCTGTGCGGCTTGCGACAGTGTGCTGCTGATGCTCACTGACCGGCTAGTTAGTGTTGGCTTTAACTAGCAAAGTTTGTGCACAGGAGAAAACAATTGTGGGTCCCAGCAGGTCAGGAAGAGGACTGGTTCGTTCCTCATGAAGCGCTAGTTCTGAATAGTGATTCAGCTGTCCAGAGTTCTGACCTGTTCATGAGGCCTGCTGCTGGTGCTAACCTCGGGTGGATCCTCTGGTTACTCTCTGGCAACCTCCGCTCTCGACTCTTAGAACAAAGGAAAGTTCTGGCCCTCGGACACACTGGCCGTTCCGTGGTTGTCCAGGCTGAGTCTCAGGATGGTCAGGAGGCGCGCTGCGAGAATGTCCTGCCCTTGGGAGCCTTTCTGCTATTGGGCCGTCCTGCCCTGCAATTGTCTCGCACCCCTGGAATTCTCCTTAGAATTCTTCTTCAGAATTTCTTCTACAGGCTCTCTGTGTTGCCTGTATTTACCTGGAGGAACTGCAGCTCGTTCATTGGCTGAAAGTTTCATGGGCATCAGAGACCCACGTGGGCTACTCGGCCCTACCAGTCCCTGATTGGTTGATCAAGGTGAGATACGAGTCACTTACCCCTGACACTTAGGAATGCAGTCCAGATGTCCATCTGGCACTCCCTAGACAGATAGGCGCCAATGTATGACCATTGATCATGATAGCCAGGCTTAGCTAAGTGCATCCCCATTTGGGAGCTGTCCCTTATCAAAAGAAAACATCTTTAAATCAGCCTGCATGAATAGCTTCTCTGTGGCTCCACCACAGAGATGAAGAGAGAGATGGGGCCTCATTTGGGAAAGCACAGCAACACTTAATTTGGTCTTATTAACAAGCATTGCCGCTACAAGTGGAAATGGAATATAATGGAACCGTCACTAACACATTCTCCAAGTAATGGATTATGTTGCAATTAATTAAAATTGCTTTCTGTTACATCATAATTATTCTTTATTAATTCTGTGAGGGGATTAAGGGTACAAAAAAATAGTTGTGTAGGGAAATTTGAGGGTTTGGTAAAGATAAAAAAAAACTTAGATGAAGAGCATCAAATACCCCCTGAAAGTGCATAAGACTCAACTTTATAGTACAGCTACAGTATATGAGAGCAGGAGCTGGCAGAGCTGGGCAGAGCTGGGTGCCATAAGAATTCCTTCAGCTCCCGACTGAGTGTTTCCCTGGAGTGTTAGCTTCGGAGTTTGATAAGGCACAAGAGGAGCTGAAATAGTGCTGCTTATACACAATAGAAATAAAAGCTATTACAATACGATTCAATTCAAATCACAGCTGCTGTACTCATTTCTTTCCTGACAAATTGCAATTCAGTATTGCACTAATAGTTACAGACCCTCATCTGGTGTAGTTTAGCACGAATGCGCTTCTTAATCTAAATTCTTAAATTAAAACCTTATTTGTCTGGGAGTTACTCAGTTATTCAAACTTGAGACAGACAGTAATTATATTAACATGGTATATATAATAACTTATTAATCAGATAAATTGAAATGCTCTGAATTGGCCACCTCCAGCAGTTTGTGCTCATTAGAACAACAACATTAGAGCCCTCAGCACCGTACTAAGCACAAGTTCAGATGCTCTGCAGCTTTGTTCCACAAATTTTTTGTTGTAATTGAGCTCAGAGCTGGAGATATACTCCACAAGGTGTCATATTAACTAGTCAGCAACTTAGAAAGTAGCTACAGTATGTTCTGTATCAAAGTCCATTGCAATTGACCTATTATATTCTGCTCAAGCAATAATTAAGAGTTCACTGACCATGCAGTGCAGCGGTCAGCATTGCTGCCTTGCAGCTCTGGGTCTCTAGGGTCAATAATAGACCTGAGGTGTTGTCTATGTACAGTAGTTTGCTCTCCCTGTGTTTGTGTGGATTTCCTTGAGGTGTTTTTCTCCCAAAGTCCCAGAGTATACAATTAGATTAATTGGCTTTTGGGAAAACTGGCCCTCGTGTGAGTGTGTGCATGTTTCTGTGTGGCTTGTGATGGACTGAGGTCTTGTCCAGGGGGTACCCTGCATTTGTGCCTGTGGCTTGCTGGTATAGGCTGTGGCTGCCCTGTGACTTTGCACTGGAAATTGGATGGGTTAATTCTCTACACTTAAAGCATAATGGGTTTTCGTTTTTCCTCTTCAAACATGAGGTTTTATTCTGCATGGGGATGTAACATGAATAAAGAAGTGATGGAGATGTTTATGCATTTCAAAATGGAGTTGAGCTCATTCATCCTTGTGTGACAAGGCACCCTGCTCTCCTCTTCCAGAATGTCAGATTATTGACAATCACTATCGGGCCCCTGATAAAAGATACTTCTTGCAGCTTCCTTTGTCACTGGTGACTGAATCGGTCCTTGTCTTATTGAGCTGAAGCGAATCAGTAACTAAACTTAACCAGATTAAAAGCATCCCCCAGGTCTTACAGGCTGGTACCTTAAACAGAACTACAATCAGTTTTCTAACCTGTATTATCCAGGACACCCTTGCAGGGAGCTGGACGTCATGAGTCAGGATACAGGCTGTCCATCGCAGGACAGACACAAACACAGAAATGCTTACACCAGCGCCAATTTTCCTAGCAGTCAGCTAAGCTACCAGTACTGTGTGTTTCTGGACTATGGGCAACAACACACAGAACATGGTGAGAGCACACAAACTCCCATCAGAGAGCTCTCCACAGAGGTCTAGACCTGAACCCAGGGCTCCAGTGCACATCTAAGATGTTTTTTCCTTTATCACTCAGTGATTAAAAACCAAGAGTAGATTAAACAACAGCATTCCACAAGAGTATAACAGGTTTCTCAATGTTTTCACTATATCTTCTTCTGTAAACAAGTCCCAGCACTGCTTCCTTCTCCCAGCCTAGGATCAGGGGGGTTAAAAATAACAGAGCAGTGCAGACAGGTGGCAGTGTTGCAAATATGAACAGGAACAAGTAATAGGTTTATTCCATGCTGAAAAGAGAAACATTGTGTTTTCTTTCTTCTCTTTCCAGCTTGAAAAAAGCCTATTACTTGTTCCTTTGCAGCCTACGCATGCTGACGCAGCTACCCACCTGAAATATGTATATGCTTCTAGCATATACTAAGCATCCTGAAAAATCAGGATGTCTTCTTGACTAACAGATGTGGTTTTCAAGCTTTTCTAAAATTTAATAAAGAAACTTAGTTCTATGTTCTGAAGCCATATTTCCTTTACATTGAGTGAATGCCTTCCATTGTAAAGACTTACCCCTTGACCTTCAAAGTAAATATGTCTGTATATTGTTGGTTCTGTCTTTTTTTTCCCTTTGTCTGTACACCAATGTACAGATGCAGCCATTCAAAGTGCGTGGCACAGACACGTACCGGATGTAATTGGCTACGGCCTCACGCATCGTGACGTGCGTTGACGCAAAATACCTCGGTACGTGATTGGTTG